AAAGGGGACAGAGAGGGGACCTGGAGCTGATCTGTCCCTCCTGGCCCACTCATATCTTCACCTTCTGGCCCCTTGGCAGCCCCCAGCTCCCACCCAGATATGCAGCCTGTGCCAGCCCATGCGCAGAGGCCACGGGTCCTGCCTGGGCGGGGCCTGGGGGCTTGAAGATGGGGCAGGTGCGGGCTGGATCAGGTTTCCAGAGGCTATATATATACAAAGGCTGCCGGGAGCCCCAGGCCGGCCGCTCCCTGAGGGTGCAATACCGCGGGGGCCCAGCCAGGCCCGCATTCCTACCCAGAGTCCAGCTCTCCATTTATAGCCTCTGGGTAGGCAGGCCAGGGGAGCTGAGTAGGGAGGACTGGAAAGGGCGGAGGGAGAAGAGGCAGCCCAGGCAGTGCTCCCACCCTCACCTCCCACTCCTCGACGCGAAGACAGGAGAAGCAAGGCCCAGGGTGAGGTGTGCATCTGCCCCATCCCAGAGCCCAGCAGTCTGCTCAGTCCTGCGCTGGAGGGAGAGGGAGGTGCCAGGGGGACCCTCCCCCATAGTCCTGCCTCAGCCTGTTGCCAATGGCCTCTCCCACCATGTGTGGACAAGGGACACCCTTGGCTAGACCCCAAAGTATAAGAGTTTGTAATCTCTCAGCTCCCAAACGTGGTGTCCTTTTCCCCTGCCTACCCTCAACCCAGCACTAGGACTAAAAGGACAGCAGGTCCCAGGACGGGCATACTTCTCCCTGCTCTTTGGGCAGCAGGGATGGGATGATGATGTTGACAAATTTCTCTCCAAAGATGTGGCACAATCGGAGGGTGATCCCAGCCAGGCGTGGCTCCCAGGCCCGGAGAGGGTTGTAATGGTCACCAAGCTCAGCGAGTTCCAAACTTTTGTCAGCAGCAGAAGCCTTGTCGCAGACAAGAAACCCACTTAAAAGCTTAATAGAAGGTGACATCTTACCAACTAGAGTGTGTGTGTGTGCTTTAAAACAGGGCTTCTTAATTATGGAAGAAGGGGACGCGACAAACTGGCTTAAAACTGTCAAAGCCGTTTCGATGTATACGTCACAAGTGATAAAATATTGTGTTTGGTAAATTCAAACACATAATATTTACCTGTTTATTGTTAAGGCACCTTGATGACAGCCCTGAGGAACTTTTTATGAAAACAAAATACAAAAAGCAGAGTTTTAATCACTTAAGTTTCAGTATCCAATTTATGTTGCCTCTGTTTGCTCAGGTTTGAGAAAAATCCAGATTTCAAAGATAAGTGGTTTGAAGAGCTCACCTGGGAATCTTAGGGTACTCTTCAATTAAATGGATTTATTTGTTCATTCATCCAAGAAATATTTATTGAGGACCTACTATGTGCCAGGCATTTTGCTGAGGCTTGAACAAGTAGGAGGAAATATTTGTTTCTATCTGAATCATGAATATATAACAATTATTTGCGTTCCTCATTGTGAATATAAATCAGATGAAAAAAGACCCACACTTATAATGCCAAATCTCTCCACTATACCACTGTGATATTGCAACAGACCAAGTATAATTGTCCATCATAAGGGAACATGCCCAGGCAGATGGGACCAAGCTTGGCCTGGAAGAGCCAGTGGAACAGAGCATGGATGTCTAATCATGTATGTGACTGTCCAGTTTCAAAGAAATACAACCACCCTAATTAATGTCACAGTTGAAATATATGCATAGAGATAGAAAGGGCATGAGACTCCCAGTCATTCACTCCCAGCCATTTATCAAGCACCTACTATGTGACTGCCACAATGATGGTTTCTGGAAATGCCACTGTGAGCAAAACACCCCTGTATTTTGGGGGCTAAGCCAGTCATGAACAAACTAATAAAGAATGGCAGTGCCAGGAAGGACCGGAGCAGAATGATGTGGACCAGAGTAAGGGGGGCAGCTATCTTAGGGGAAATGGAGACACGGAGGTGACCTTTGAGCTGAGACCTATTACATGAAAAGCAGCCAATCTTAGGAAGAGCCCAGGGGACTCAAGTCACGAGCTTAGACTAGCAAAGACAAGACTCTGAGGCAGAATCCCTTTCTGAGTATTGGAAGGAAAGGAGATCAGGCTCACCAGAATGGAGACATCCAAGGGGAGGGTGGCTCCAGATGGTGTTGGGGACACAGGCTGAGGCCAGATCAGGCAGGGCCTCACAAGCCAGCAGAAGGAGGTGAGATTCCATTCTAAACACAATAAGGAGCGGTTGGGGAACTTGGAGCAGAAGCGTGGCATAATCCCCTCACGTTTTTAAATGTACTCAAGCTGTTGTGTAGTGACTGGATGACACTGGGACAAGAAAGGACATGAGGGGAACAGCCAGGATAGTGTGCTTGTCCGGCCAGTAATATGGTGGCTTAATCCAAGATGGCACTAGCCACTGGGGATGCACAGACTTGAGAAGTTAGAGGGAGAGTGGACAGGTCTGCCGCATGGCAGACCTTTCCTCTGGGACTCCAGCCTCATCAATCTCCCCCACTTGCCCCACACCGCCACTTGGATGCTTTTCAAAGTTTGCCCACACCTGGGCGCTTGATCTACCACCCACCAGCCTGCCCTCTCCAACTCCATCTTTCCAGAAGTCATCTTCAACTTCTCGCTTGTCCCATGCCCATATCCAGTCATGAATACATCATGGGACTCCACTTTGAAAATGTATCTGGAGTTCAGCTTCCTTTCACCAGCTCTGCCACCGCAACCCTACCACCACCTCTCACCAGGATTATTACAATAGCCTCCTAATTGGTCTTCCTGTTTCTGCCCTTGCCTTCCAGTAACCAGCATGCTCCTGTTCAAACGTAAATCAGATGGTGACATCCTTCTCTTCTGCTCAAGCCCTTCTATAACTTCTTATTTCTGAACACAGTCTCTTTTCTCCCTCTCTGATCCTATTTCCCAGCCTTCTCTTTGCCCCTCCTCCTACAGACATGCCGGCCTCCTTGCTGTACTTTAAATCTGCCAAACACTGTCCTGCCCCAGGATCTTTGCCTATGTTTGTCCCTCTATCTGGCCCCACATATTTGCCTCTCTTCATCCAGGTCTCTGCTCAAATGTAACCAGCCTAGAGACGCCCTCCCTAACCACTCCGTACAATGAAATAATCTCCTCACTTTGCTCCCTTGCCTGGATTTATTTCTCTTATAAAGCTTACAATCTTCTGGCATCGTGTAACTGCTTGCTTATTTGTTTATTGTCTGTCGCTCGTCCTACAATGTAAGCATTACATGAGAAGTTAGTGGGAAAGTCACAAAGATCACCCTTGTTTAACTTCTGGTTTCCAGGAGGGGAAACCCAGGCGGGGGTGTAGGGGAGATTTCTAGCCAGGGTGCTGAAAGGACGGTGTGAACTGCACCTTCTCCAAGAGGCTGGGATGCCCCCTGGGGGGCGGAGTACCCTGAGGCTTGTATGGGAGCCAGAGATCCCTGGGGGTGTTTGCCTCTTCCTCCTGTTTCTAGCTTCTCCAGCCTGTAGGGAAGAGACCCAGCTGAGGTTTGGAGGACCCCAGCCCCTGTTAGGGCCCCTGTTAGGGCTCAGAGTCCCTTACCACAGGCGAGAAGTCTGCCGGCATGCCATCCAACAAGTGCTGAAGATGGGCAGGCCCTCTTGCTGGCTGAGTCCTGCAACGAAGCTGGGGCTTCCACATCTTTGGTCTCTTCAGATTCTCACCCCCACCCCCACACACAATTACTCCAAGAAATTGCTATCCCCAAATGTATAAAGTGGAAACAGGCCAGGCATGGTGGCTCACTCCTGTTATCCCAACACTTTAGGAGGTGGAGGCGAAGGGATTGCCTGAGCCCAGAAGTTTGAGACCATTCTGGGCAACTTGGTGAGACCTGGTCTTTACAATAAATTAAAAAAAATTGGCCAAGTGTGGTGGTGCACACCTGTAGTTCCAGCTACTTGGAAGGCTGAGGCGACGGATTGCCTGAGTCCAGCAGATCAAGGATGTGGTGGCTGTGAGACCCAGAGTAAGGGGGTCCCACTGCGTTCCACCTTGGGTGACAGAGCGAGACTTTTGACTCAAAAAAATTAAATAAATAAAATGTGGAAACAGGCTCAGGAAGGAGGAGTGACATTCACAAAATCACACCGTTGGGAAACGCTGGAGTCTGGACTCTTGGTCTACACACTCCACTCAGGAAGACTCCGCTCCGAGGGGAGCCCTCCAGCCAAGTCGTGGCCGTGGCGATCTTTAAAGTGCACTTCCCTTGAGTTCTCCTCCCAGACGAGGGGGCATCCCAGCTCAGACCCGAGGCCACGGTACCGGACACCCCGCTGCAGGAACGTGCAAGTTGAGATGGGCGCAAGTTCCGCACCGGTGGGGACCCAAGTTCGAAGAGATGGGCGTGAAGCGTTAGCGGCAATCCTCGACTCCGGTATAGGTGCGGCTGGGCTCCTAAGCGTCCAGGAAAGATGAGCTGGGCCTGCGACCCTCGGAGCGACTCCCCAGACAGGGATTGGCCGGCTCTCACTGTCTCTGCCCCTGGCTCTTTCTGTCTCCCAGCCCTTTCGGGTGAATCTCACCGTCTGTCTCAGCTCTGTGTGCCTCTACCCCCAATGCCTGGCGTCTCTCTCCAAATCTCTCCCGATCTCATTTCTTCCCCCTCTCTCCTCCTGGGTCCCCCACAAATCAGGGGGTAGAGGAGGGCTCAAAGTCAGCTCGGAGGTGACCGCACAGCCAGCATATCCCGCGGACCCAGGAGGAGCGGGGAGGTTTGGAAAGGGGTGCCCGAGGCCCGGGACCGCCGCGTCGGTTGCGAGTCTCTGCCCCCCTCCCTGTCCGAGGAGGGGACGCCGCGCGCGCTGGTGTCGAGAGGCGGGAGGGGCCGCGCTCTAGGCCCTGCGGCCACCCAGGGGACCCCAGGCTCCGCCCCGCTGGGTTGCTATTGGTCTCGGGCTCCCCCGCCCCCGGCTGCCCTCTCCGACTCCGGGGCGTTTAGGCTACTACGGATAAATAGCCCCGGGCGCCTGGCGCGAAGCTAGGGGTGGGGAAGCCCCGGGGCGCCGCTGCCTCTTCCCTCGCCACGAGTCAGGCCGGACGGGACAGGGCGGGGTAGGGGGAGGCAGCTGGGTGTGCCTTCCGACTCCCGGCGCTTTGCTACCGCGCATCCGGGACTCCCGAGCGGCGAAAAGTTCCGGGCGCCTCTGGCGCTGGGGTCGGGTGAGGCCGGGACCGCGCCGCCCCCTGCAGGGACATGGAGCTGCTGTCGCCGCCGCTCCGCGACGTGGACCTGACGGGCCCCGACGGCTCTCTCTGCTCCTTTGCCACCGCAGACGACTTCTATGACGACCCGTGTTTCGACTCCCCGGACCTGCGCTTCTTCGAGGACCTGGACCCGCGCCTGGTGCACGTGGGCGCGCTCCTGAAGCCGGAGGAGCACTCGCACTTCCCCGCGGCTGTGCACCCGGCCCCGGGCGCGCGCGAAGACGAGCATGTGCGCGCGCCCAGCGGGCACCACCAGGCGGGTCGCTGCCTGCTGTGGGCCTGCAAGGCGTGCAAGCGCAAGACCACCAACGCCGACCGCCGCAAGGCCGCCACCATGCGCGAGCGGCGCCGCCTGAGCAAAGTGAACGAGGCCTTCGAGACCCTCAAGCGCTGCACGTCGAGCAACCCCAACCAGAGGCTGCCCAAGGTGGAGATCCTGCGCAACGCCATCCGCTACATCGAGGGTCTGCAGGCCCTGCTGCGCGACCAGGACGCCGCGCCCCCTGGCGCCGCCGCCGCCTTCTACGCGCCGGGCCCGCTGCCCCCCGGCCGCGGCGGCGAGCACTACAGC